ACACACACATAATCCTCCAGAGCGACCAGACCCGCACACTAGTTGATCTAATGCTGATCTAATGAGCAAACATAATTGCAGACGGACTATCCTCAACCACATCATACAAGCAATTAGTCATGATTCATCCTTCAAGCTGGATCTTTAAATGAAGCTTTATGTGCCCTTTTATCTAGAGACACATTATTTTCACTACATTTAAAATAAATAGAAAAGATATTAAACACACAAAGCCTTTATTTTCCACCCCACAAGCATCATTATAATAACAACAAGTTATTTGAGCCCAGTCAACTACATCACCACTTTTATAACACAACATACAGCTTTCATATTCAATATATAATGTAAACCCTTACAGATGGAGATTCATACAGGAGGTAAACAATCTAGACTTTTACTGTGTAACCCTTATTAGCAGCTTATATGATGCTCACTAAAATCATTATTTTACAGACTTTGTGGACAGCTGGATTATGATACATTCTAGGTCAGTTTTCCTTTGTCATTAAATGTTTCCGTTCACATTCAGCCTCTGTCCTGATTTCTGACATTCCCTAGTTATATAACTAATGGAGATCTCTCTCTCTCTCTCTCATTATCTTGTCTCCTATTCCTTGATATTTTAATCAAGAAATATCTCACGCTGTGCCCTTTACCTGACAAAAGTATTTCACATATATATCTTCCCTGAGCCTCCTTTCTGAACACACAAAGAGGGCTGCACATCAAAATGGCTGCCGCGCATCACTGACACCAATGCTGCACAGGGATGGTGGAGACTGTGCCGGTTTACCACGTGCCTCTTCCCCTCCCCCACTGCCTCTCTCTTCCTCTCATCACACTGCTTTTCTCCCTCCTTCTCAATCTCCCCAGCACCAGAAGTGACTGCTTCCTTTTCTCTTCCACACATCTTAATCAATATTATTGTGTCATTCTTTGCATTTTTTTGTGATTTGCATCACCCTCTTTTGTTATAGTTTGCCTGCATCCATCCCTGCTCCTTTTCTCTGTGTGTATCTCTATGCTTATGGCTGCACCATGTTATGAAGGGAACTAGGTCACTGAAAAGTAGTGCATTGCGTGGTTGTCTGTCTCTATGTGGGAGTGATCTGTAACAGGGATGAAGCCTAGAATGTTTTTCTTTCATTGAATCTTCTGTATCTTTCTCTCACACATATAAGGCAGCCTGTCAAAGTGGAAAGGGATCTAAAAATATGTTTACTGGTTTGTCTGCCCAAACATCATGATTCAATCTAAGATGTTGAAAAGAGCACTGTGATAAATAAACCATTATGAATGAATGAATATCAAAGAATGGAACTGAGGTGAAAATGCAGCAAAAAATATGCCAATAAAGCAAGGAGAATGTAAGGTTACCTTACAAAAACAAATAAAAGCACAGAGAAAGATAGAGATATAGCCTTTGTAAAAACAACAAGACATGCAACAGCAACAAGAGCAATATCTAAATTATGTTTTGGTTAAAGTTTGGCCAGTAGTAGTAGTAAGGTAAGGGGCATTAGGGGGTGGCACATAGTGACAGAAAAACAGATGGTCCATATAGTATCAAATGCCAATTTTCCCACTATCCCTAACACAATGTTTACTTCTCATAACCAAATAGAAGATGCAAAAAGACTAAATGACTACTTATGACACAGTATGAAACTGAATACACATTTACTTAAAATAATGTATTTTTGGTATAATACCAGAAGTATCCAAATAATGAGTAAGCAGCAGCTTAACTGTACTGAAATACTGATAAAAAAAACACACAAAACAAGAAACGATATGGGAACAAATTTTAAGGAAGCAAGGAAGAGTTTGATCTCACCTCTGTGAGCATATTCTCTGACTCTGTTTTATGTCTTGGCACTGTCCTGGTGGCACTATGGTCAACACTCAGAGTGCTCTGACTGAAGGGTCGGGAGCACTTTATATCACTCTTCCGGGAGTCAGTGGTTCCGTACACCTCATAACTGAACGCCGGCTTCAACGTACCGGTACCTCCTACGTCTGCGTAAAGGGGCGGGTAATACGGAATAACAGGAAGATTTCCACCAGCTTTGTAAAACAGACGCTCGCGTCTCCATCTGTAGATTTTCACTGATATAATAACCACTAAACACGTGATGAAGAGGAAGGAAACTACAGCCAAAGCCAACACTAAGTAATTCTAAAAACAAAGGACCATTTCATTTAGAAACTCGGGAGCGTAAGACGCCACCGCCCCAATGTTCCAAATCATTTTTGACAAGCTTTCAATCCCTGGGAAATAAATTTCCCTGGCTGGTCAATTTCATTCTCTGTTCAAGCCAATTGATAAAAGTTCTGGACAATGGGCGCGCATTTCCTGATTTTCCTCGGAAGATAGCGTCCAGCGGAAGGGGATTGTTCAGCCTCCAGCTTTTTTTTTAGTGGAATCTGCAGAGAGTGGGGAGAAGAATTACTGCGTGTGGCGTCCTTTCGACTATGAGCAACAAAAGATTATGATTTTCGCGTAAGCCTCAAGGATGGAGCTTTCCCCGCCACGTTCCAGTTAGCAGAATTGAGTGTGGAAAATTATCGAATTTCCAGGACCAGAACGACAACTCCTCAGGTTCTGCGTTTATCCAAGCCAGGGAACTGGGTGGCTCTTTTCTGGCTTGGCTGAGATGTTTTGCCTCGTTCAGCAAGAGGTTTTGTGAGCTAGTTGGTGGGGTGGGTCACTAAAGTGGGTGGATGTGTGTTGGACTGCTGGACGAACTGCCTGGCTCTCCTATAAAAGCAAGAAAAAGCCAAAGACAGGGCGCTGTTTGAAGTGGGCTTTACAGAAATGAGAATAAAGAACTATCCGCCAAAGTCACTGAATAAAGTTTGCTGTGAATCACCAAAGACGACTGTCTATTTATGGGACACACGGGCAGCCCTCTCGTTCAGCTAACGGAGTCAATTGTTGAGGGAAACGTGGCGGGGCGGACAGTTCCCTGAATTGCTTGTGTCCGCGGGTCAACGACTTACAACCACGAGACAGCGGAGGGCTTTAAGTTAATGGTCTGT